TTTGGATCTAATAGAAAGCATAATATGTTATCGAAACCATCAAAACTATGTTTCACCAAAGTTTGTCTTCATAAATCTGCACATTTGTTAATAACAAATTACGAAACATAGTTTTGGTGGTTTCGGTAATATATTATGCTCTCTTTTTTGAAAATTATATATTATGCTTTCTTTAAATGAAATTGGAACCAAAACTTGAAAAGCTCTTCGACTTCAACTCCGAGGCTTAATCGCGTACAATTGTTTTTAACCTTTGACCTTTCATAAAGTTTGGTATTCCGTAAAGAAAAAGAAAAAACTGTTTGTGAAGTCTTTGGTCCACTTCTTAATATTGTTTAAATTAAATTTCAGAAGGTTTTGTATTACAACATCATTAGATTTTGACCCACGACAAACGTAGAATTAAATAATTAAATATGTTTTTAATAGAATTTAATATTTAGACGTGTATTCTAACATTAATAAACACACAAAAATGATATGTATTGTGCATATATATAATAAAGCTAAATTTTGATCAAACAAAAATATATTTTATCTTTGTTATTTTTCATTTCTCCTATCTATAAAAAATAATCATGAATTTTTGTTTTTGAATATTTTAATATCATTTTTTATTCAGATAAAAAAATCTAGTATAATTGAAAAGAAAAAAGATATTTTCAAATATTTTCCATATTCTTTAAATAAAAATCTCTACATTAATTACCACATATTCGTTATTTCCATATATTTGCTATTAAGAATTTTTAATAATTTTTATTAGGAAATGAATTTCTTAAAACCATCTTATGATGACACCTAGGATTTTCATCTAGTATCTCCTCTATTAATATACGGAGGATAACTATTGGGATATGAGCAAATCCAACATGTGTACCGTCGCTTTGTTTGATTGAATTTAACTGTTAACATATAACCCCTCCTGATTTTACTGTTTATCTTTCTGAACAAATTATTACAAACTTCTTTTTTTTTTGAAAAAGAATTATTACCAACTTTACACTATAAATTAATTGTTTTGTTCGTTCAAAATGTTGGCATGCCCTGATGGTCAAATACTTAAATATTTTGCAATAGAATCCATTGACAAAACAATTTTTTCTAATTCTTATTAAACTATAACGCAGTTACCACTGAACGAAAACAAAAAAAAAATTTGAAATCAGTATGATCAAAATTTTTTACATGAACACCATTGAATTGACCTGTTTATACAAGGTTTTAGTTTAATAATTAAAAATTTAATGACAAAAGCATTCGATCATAAAAAAAAAAAAATTGTAGTGTTTTTTCTTATTCTTTTATAAATGTCAAAATTTCAAATGATATCATTAATAAATGTGTCCACTTTAGGTTGTATTTGGATTATGGAATTTATATTCCTCTAATTAAGTTTATCAAATGAGCAATGTTTATGCATTATCTTGCTCAGCTAGACAACTTAAATCATCCAAACGAATGGAATTTGCAAAAAGCAAAAAAGGTAGTTGGTATCCTTTTAAATCCAAGTGCTTTAACTAATAAAAATGATACTCCCTTGGAAATATAGGATGTTTTAAGATTTTTTTTGTTTATTAATATAAGATGTTTTCACTTTTGAATGCACCATTAATTAATTTTTTAGTGTTTTTTACTCTTTAAATTCTGCATATTAATTTATTATTGGTTGATATGTTATGGGTAAATAAAAAGTAATGTTC